AAACTGTCCACACCGTAGCGGATCATTGCTAGAATTCGAATAAATTACATTTCAACGTCTAATTGAGCTTCAGTCATTTCGCTAAAGTGCAGTTCTTATCGCAGATTAAACAAAACCGATATGGTAATGACTGTTGTTTGCGGGGTACCATGGCAACTGATTTAATTGGAATGTCATCGGGAATTGATATCTAACTAGGGACTGACGAAATCATCCCCCACGCATCCTAATCTATCTTCGGCAGGTAATTAGGGGGTAATAAGGAATATTGAACTAAAACCAGAATAGGTTATAATAAAAATAGTCACAAAGTAAACATTCTTCACCGTTTTTAAAGAATTTAATTTGTAATAAAAAAAAAAAAAAACACTACATTTTTAAATGTAATAAAATGTAAAACAGTTTTATTTTTGTGTTATTTAAACACTCTTTTACTTAGCTAAACTTTATTTTTTGTTCTTTTAAAACTTTCCGATTCATTACAATATTTTAAAGTAGTTAGTTTTAAATATATACAGAAACCGAGATTAAATATAATATTTATGTTAGAAAGCAGTTGCAACGCAAGGCAAAAATCAACATTACCAAAGCTGTGGAATAACAAAAGCAAACAAGAGGGGCTAACTAGTGCCGCCATCATCTTCATCTGCTGCCAGCAAACTGAACAATGCAAGCGGGATTGCATAATGGATCCCCCCAGCCTAATGAGCTCCCAGTTTCAAGCTCTCAGCTCCAACATCGTGCTTCAATGCAACAAATCATGTGTCTGGCTCAGAATTTTTTGTCGCACAATTTGGCTAACAACACATCAACGAACTCGAGTCGAAACAATAACAGAGTGTCTGCTTTGGTTAAGTCTCCACAAAAATTCTGTCTTTCAAATTGCTCTCCTATGACAATGGCGCCGGCGGTAAATAAAATTCACCCTAAGAGGGCAGCCAACTTTTTTGTTTGTTTTTCACACGTGCGATGCAACGCAACGCTTTGTATTTCATGAAAAAGCATATACGAAAGTGAGAATTTGCAAGTAAAATTCATAAATCTGAGTGCCGGGGAAAGAAATGAAAAAGTTTCTGGCAAATTGCAAACTGGATAAATAAATTCTTTAAACTGTGTTTATCGATTACGGTAAGGCAATCTGTTTAACTATAATTTAAAAAAGTTAAAGCTACTGCTAAGCTAACTTATCAAAATGTCAAAGCATAGTACTAAATTTAAATATTTGTTGAAGTTAACAACGCAAGCTATTGGTTAAAAAGTAAGCATTTAAAAATGCTTTAAGTTTGCAAATGTCCAGAATTTTAAGCACAACTGTAGACTTATTTGTTCGGCCCAAAATTAAAATTTATTCATTATCTTAATGAACTTAAAAAAAAACATTTGTTTTTCGTAATATTGTTCAACGTTACATGACTAAAAATCAAATCTAAAAAAAATTGAATTTCAATATATGTAAAGTATTAAATTTACTTGAAACCTAAAACGCAAAAATTTTAATCTCAAATATTTAATCGCCAAATATCGCTTTAAGCTTAAGCCAAATCCAATTATTTATTCAATTTAATAAAAACAATGACCATATTCGTTTAGCTGAATAAATATTGTGCCAAATTAAATTTAACAAACAATACAAAGTATACCTTTTCCTTGACCAAAACTGAATTGAACCGAACAATTATTTGAACAATGTTGATGCGAATTTATTTCAGGGCCAAAAACGATGAAGGCTTTCCTCAATTGACACAAATCCGACCAAAACAAAATATACTATAAGCCACACATAAATGAAATAAATAATTGTTGATGGCGGAAAATGCTTTGGATAATCGTCAGCTGACCGAATCCACGATCTGCGCAGAAACCTCTGACATTTTGGCCAACAAAGAGTGGCGAAATATATGTTGGTTTAAAGCGGTGGCGATGAAGATGCGATGAGTTACAGAACCCAAGGTGCCGACGCCACGTGATGCGGTAAACAGTCAAAGTCAGTCACTGGGTTATGTTAACCTCAACTATGTGTATATATCTAGCATACAGACGGGGTAAGCCATCGACATCTACATTCGCCAAGGAAAAAAAGAAGTTAATTAGCATCAGCGCCTAAGCCAAAAGTTAATTATGTTATGTTATTGTAATTTATCATTGTTTACGCTTTGTGCCAGCACTTCTTTTTAAACAGTAGTCAATTTTTTCTAACTCTTCATCTGTCCATGAAAAAAATATGTTTAATCATTGTCCATAATATCTGAGTTAATAAGTTGCCTGGTTTGTTTTTTATTACATAGCTAGCTTAATCTAACTTAACTATACATCGCATTTTTTATTAAGTACAATATGAGCAAAAATGCTTTAACTGTAATACCAACAAACTTCTCCATTTCTTTTATTTATATCACACTGATTTGTTTTTTATTCCAAAAAACTACTACCAGCCCTGTTTATCACACAATTAAAATAAACGAATTTTGTAAGCCCAATCATTTCTTGAAACGCTCGCAATCAGCCCGATAAAGAGTTTTTATGTCAATCTAATGATGACTTTCCTTTGGCAATCGCAACGCAATGCGAATGTTGCGTAACCAACAAAAAAAAAAACCAGCGAGAAATCGCTGCTCAAACAATGAGCCCAATTGTAATTAAAAAGTTGTCTGAGGGCGGCGGGGATCGGAGATGTCAAATGATAGATTAAGCGACCCAATTATGAGTATGTGGCTCTGGGGCTGCGTGGGATTTTGCCAATTTTGTGAAATATATGGCGAAGGAAAGTGGAATTGCAGGCAATGGAATATTACTATCCCACACCAGTCGTGAGCATCAGCCGAGGGCCATAAAATATCAGCATCTCGTGCGTTTGCCATATCCATGACGCCTAAGGTCTCTCGTACTTAACTTCATGGTAAGCGGAGTTTTAATTTTTTATTGTTGCTCCGCCGGCGAGACCCATTTTTAATTGTTGCTCGCCTCTGGGTAGCCCATTTGGAGTGGAGTGCAGATCTAATTGCAGCCGCAGCCATGGATATGCCTTTTTGATTGTGTACCTTTTTAGTTTCGGGTGTTTTTGTGCTGCGGCGGCCTTTTGCAAGTCAGCGTTCTTCAAGTTCAAGTTCGGGGCTCCATCATTATGGCGATCAGAGTTTGGCGCTGTTCACACTTAATGATTTCTCGCATGTGCCGCAGCTCCGACTGATTTCGAGATCGGATGTTCGGATGCATAAATCACTTAAACAAATGCGTTCAAAGTCACAGCAAATAACAAGAAATGCAAGCTTACTACGGCGGCCCAAACCTTAAAATACTCTTAGTGGTATTATTAAATCAAGAAATCCGGATTTTATTGTAAGCTTTGATGAATATAAAAGGATATAAATATTTACTTTAATAATCCGAGACTATTTTATTTTAAAAAGATGTGTATGTAGTAACATATAAAACCATATTACATTTATATATCCTTTTCCTAAATATCTAAACTGAGGTTAATTAAACCAAAGTAGAATATTATTAACTAAATCTTCTGTTAAATGTTTTTGTTCAGAATGGATTAAAGTCTGTTTGATAGTATAAAATGTTTTATAGTACTGACCGAGCCAAGTAAAAATATCATTTTATTACTTCATTTTTGTCTTAGGATGTGTTAAAATTGACATTTGGTTACTTATTAACCCGATGCTAAAGATGGCATTTCTCTTTAAAAACTTTCATTTTCCGTGACCAAGGTCAGCATTCTCGGGTGTTTAAAAAATTAATGATGATAGAAACCTACTCAATAAATCCTGCTGTCCATTAAATCTTTGTCTAGAGTATCTAAAAAACAATTCATGGGTGTCCCGGCAATTTGAAACGATTTCGAATCGATTTGAAGTTGTTGGCTGGCACTTCACCGCACTTCGCAACCGTTGAATATGCAATTAAATTTAATTTACTGAACGACCTCACATGGGGTATATTTTCATGTTTTATGTACGAGTATGCTCGAAATGCAATTTGAAGATGAGCTCGAGGTGCGTGAGAGGACACTTGGAACAGATCAGAAGCTGATTCGCCTTGTAGGGGTGAACTTGAGCAGCCGCAGCATTGGAAATGCACAGTAAGATAACAACTAACATTATTAAGCAATATTGGGCCGAGCACAATGAAAATTAATGAATTTTTCGTTTGTGCTCTCATTAGGCACATCAAAAAATCGCATTAATCAAATTGAGTAGGCCCACAAAGCCAGATTTAAAATTCATATTTAACAATTTAAACATTTTTGGTCAGCTGGTATTTATTTTTTCATTTTTTTTGTTTATCTTTACGTTGCCCTTTTTGCTCGCTTCTTCAACACCTTTTGGCTAATGATGAGCAAATTGTGCCGGAAGCAATTTAAGCTCTATTGATTTTATTGACACCGTTTTGCTTTGTATCGAAGAATACGACAACTTTTCAATAGTTACATAAATGTAAAAAAAAGCTTAAATAATTAAATTTAACCCCAGGGCCATTCAGCTTAGCTCAAAACAATTAAAATAAAATCAAATATAAATGCATAATCATTTATTTAAACAAAGCTTGTAACGGTCATCGATGAGTTTTGCCTTTTTCACACTTATTTATTATTTTTTGCAAAATAAGAAAAACAAAAGACTCAAGCAGCGAACTTGCTGCGCCAACATGTTTGAAGCCGTAAGATGCACTCGAAACTTTAAGATGCAAGCCCCAAACCAGTAGCACACTGACACATTTATGGCAGCAGTAGCTGCAACTAACTCAATTAGCCGTCGAATGCATTCCAAAACTCATCTACAGCTAAAAGGCCTCCTGCTGTTCCGACCATTTTCGTTGTTGTTTGTTTTTATTGTTGCCCCACCAAGCCACTTGATCCCTCGTTTAAGCCAAGCCTCCAGCTTGGTTCGAGCCACGTTCGAACATCGAACCGCTGGCCATTTTTGCTCGTTTTGGCTTTTTGGGGACAAGCTATAAACCGTGGCAAGATCGTCATTGCGTTCAGTTGGTAAAAGTGAAGCGTTGCGTGCGGTTGCCTCAACAACAACATCTATAACTTGGATTTCTGTGCTGTGCCCTCATCGAGTTTTGAGACCCGTTTGTGTCGTTTGTTTCAATCGAAAGGTGATTATCCTTTAAGGACAAGTGACTGCAAAAAAGTGTTATCTTTTTTCCAAGAGCTGTGATTTAAGATTTTTCAATACTTTGTTTAGTTTGAGTGTAGGATTCAAATATATCAGTTCAGTTGTAAATTTTAATTTGCAATTTAAACAACATAAAATACACAAAAGCTGATAGTTTTGCTAACAAAACTTTACAAATTAAGATTTTTTATTCGGTTCGTTTAGGTTGTAATAGAATTAAAAGATGTAAACTTGTTAAAATATACTGATTGTTCAGTTGCGGTTGCCATTTTATTATTAATGGCGGTTCAAATGGCTTTTATCGTTTTATATTAAGATTATAAGATGCCAATTTTAAATGAATCAAGAGAAATCTCTTGGTGGCAATTTTACAAATTTATATAAGACGACTGACTTGTCAATTTTATATATTTGAGCTGTAGAATACACCTTAAGTAGTTAATACATTTTTTAAAAAGAATGATTAGATACAAATGTTAGAAATTGAAAATAAATAGCAGCCAACATTTTTAACATATATTACAAGTAAATAAAAAATATGAGCAGAAGGCTATAGAATAACTCGATGTCTGACGATGATAAATCACATTTTCTTAAAGTTCTGTTCCGACCTACCACAATTTATTCTTTCACAACACGTTCTGTCATTTTGAAGAACATGGCAAATAGTGTGAAAAACGTTGTTAGTTAACCCAACAATGAGTGAGTTGTTTTTTCTTCATTTATGCCCTCATTTCGGTCGGTTTTTCGAGCTGACAACCGCCCACTCCCACTCGCCACCCCCAGGGCCATGCACTGAAGCAGAAGATTACGCAATATGTTGGCAGTGCAAATGAGTGGAAAATCTAATTTTCCAGCAGCATGCAAATATATTCGGGCAGTAATTGCCAAAATGTCAGGCAGCGCCAGCTGTGAGCTACTGTTGCTACTGCACATAATTTTGAGGTCGTAAAGTCTAAGACCACCAAAAATGCCAATAATATTTTATGACTAGCAATAACAGAAACTTGATAAGAGACTCTTTGACATTTTTACAGTTTGCAACTGGAGATGACCTCACATAAATGGCTATTTAAAGTCAGCTCTGACAGGTCGATGTTTAAACAATTTCAATGCCGTTTTCCATCGCAATTGCGGAGGAGGGCTTGCAGCTCTCTTCTTTTGGTCTCCGATCACTGAAAATTCCACAGTAGAAATCACCAGTCACGATTCCGTCTCCAATTGACAACAAAATAATTTATCTCCGCGGAATGCGGGAAAGTCTTTGCAAAAAAATCTCTCTGGGCTCCTCCTGTCACTCTGTTGGATGGATTCTGCTTAAAGGAAAGTTTTTTTTTCAGTGGGCGTTTATTCCCCACTAATTTCGGGCCTCACACATGCCAATTTTGTAGTTATTCAAGTTGAATGACAATTTCCAGCTCTCAATCCTTGAACCCTTAATTTTATATTTTGATTGTGGGGACTATAACAAAGGGTCTGCAATACAAAAAGAAGGTCTAATTACATGAGGCTATTTTTTTATTAAAAATTTATGAATACCTATCACAATAAAGTTTATTTGTGTTCAGCTAACATAAATCGTTATACTAGATTTATGTTACAAGTTATCAGATATGTTGTTAGAAACTCTTTGCATGATTGACATACAATTTTTATTGTATTTAACATTTCTATTAAGATTTAAAATTTTTTGTACTAGTTTCTGATAGAAAAATAAGATACATTGAACAGTTGCAAAGATTCTGTAAGCCCATTTCTCACAGCATCATAGAGTTTTCCCTTCCCTTCGCTGGTTTGTTTATTTACCTGGCTATGACAATATATTTGGACAACTCATTAGCGCTTATTCCCAAGATGAAAGTGAAGATGAAGCCCAGACAATTGAGAAGATTCCACTTGAACCTCTCACTATGCCCCACCATTCCCCCCACCTAGTTCAACCTGACGCGCTGTCAATATTTATTGATATGGCCTGCACATATAAATACGATTTTATGTGATGACCAAAAACTGAACGAAGAAACATGACCATTTTCACTATCATTTCGCTTCATTGTTATTGTTTTTGAGCGCTGCACTGTCTGTGGTATTTCAGTGTTTTGCTCATCCGAGAAAACCAGTAAGCTGCAGGTGCTGCTGCCCGCTGACCAGTAAAAGTAACGCTCCTTCTGCCTGTCTGGCCGTCTGGTGGTGGCCTGGTGGTCTAAAACTGGCCACAGTTGACAGACTTTCTTCTACAGTCTGTCCAGTTTTTCTGCATATTGTTTACTGTTGGCCAGCGGCTTCTTCTTCGGGCCAAGACGAGACCAGATCTGGCCAAGACCAGACCGAGACCGAGACCAGGCAATAAAGCCAAGCCGTTGCATCCGTCTGCAACTTTCATAACTACAGCAGCATCCTGATCCCTTTTTCTGCGGTAACTTCGTAAAGGGGTCAAAGTGGTTGACCCAATGCACAGATGGCGCAACAGCAGACACTAACATTCTAATTAGCAATAAAAAGAGACCTCGACGGCATCAAAAGCGAGCTATCTAGATACACAAAGGTGGGATGTTGTTGCAACAAGTCATCAAGTGGGTTTTTGCAGCTGGCAAATCCGTCTTCTTTATAATTACTGTCATCGCACCGCAGTGAGGTGGTGCTTAAAAAGCAGAAACTTGTCTTGCTCTTCGGCTTCGTTCTACAAACAAGCTGCAAGTGCAAGTTTCTCGATGTTTTCTCTGGAGAAACGTCTGCTTATCGATTGATTTCTAATTAACAGGAAATGGCAGAGGCAGATCTAGGTAGTTCAAATTAAAAAAGGGGTTTTATAGGCGAAGCTTTAGAGTGAGATATCAATTAATCATATATTCCTTAACGACTATTCCTATTTATTAATAGAACTCCTTAAACTCATAATTGAATTTATCCATAAAACTTGTTTAACAGTCCATCTTACCTTACATTAATTTCAGTTTAATTTACCTTCTATAAAATACAGAAAAATAATATTCCTTATCAAATTTAACATTAACTTCAAATGCGAAATTCAGTAATCGTAGTTTAAATAGCATTTTATTTAATAGAAAACAAATTTCCTTAATCAAAACTCCGCTCAAATAATGCACTTCATTAAATATATTTAACCATTTACAGCTTTATGTGATTTAGACACCTGTTCTGCTCTTAGCCAGCTAATGACATTTTTTTTTACAAATTTACTTCACCTCAAAAAATGATCGAGGCGCGTGATACATAAATAAAATTTGTTTGCCATCTAAGAAGACAAATCCAGTAAAAAACCAGTTGCTTAGAGCCATGCGGAGACGGTTGTAAAATGTAATGTATAAGCTGGAGATTAATTGCCATGTTTGGGGGGTGGTGAGTACAGCAGGTGGAAGGGGTACAAAAATAAAGAAAAATGTTTGGCAGATGCAACCACGAAGTCAGCACCAGTGGCTTGAAATTAATTATCTAACAATTCGGATTCGGAATGTTGCACAGATGTGCGCACGATAGTGTGCTTAGAAAAACCTCATTCAAAGATTTCGACTCCTATATTTTGTGGTTATTTTGTAATATTTATTTGGCTATTGAGCACGTTTTGAAGGTTGCTTTTTGCACGCCGCACATGTGTATTATATAAAAAAAAATAACCATTTGAAGAGCCTAAAATCATCATTAGTCATTTAGCCGCCAAAAGAAACAGAAAATAAATGCCTTTCTCCCACAATTTATATTTACAAGTGCCTCCATTGAAATGTTCAATGAAGCAAGTATTGCATAACAAAAGAAAACAAGCCACAAAATATAAAAGCCAGGGACAAAAAAATCAAAAGGCAAACAAAAATGAGACAAAATGAGAGCTACTTGGGAGTAAGTGCCCGAAAGAAGAGGTGAAGACAATTGGTTCGGAAATATTTCAGCAGCTGCCAATGCCCTTACCCACGACAATTAGCCGAAAAAAAAACCTGTCATATACCATACATATTGGTAGTGCTTTAAATAGGAAGAGCAAATGAGGCAACGGAAATTCAAATTACAAAACTTACGAGCCGTGAAAAAGGGGGAAAAAAAAACATGCAATTGCGCGTGGCCAAAACAAAGGCCTTAACCAAAAGTGTTATCAGGCGGAAGAGTTTCGAATATTGGCCAGAGGCCGAGAGACCCAGCAATATGTGTAATGCATGGCCATGGACGGGCTCAGGCCTCGAACTCGGGCAACTTTCTCCATTAACTGCGAGTATTTATTAGTTTGGTATGCACAAGACAAACTCTGGGCTTCAGTTGAGCTAGAAACGCCAGAGTGCTGGAATGTCTCTGACTAATAGACATATATGTATGTTCCAGACTGTTGCCGAGTGGTGTAAGGGGAGTGGGACTTTCTTGACTTTGGATAGGTCAGGTTTTCCGGCTAGGTCAGTTACGGCTTGTTAAATTTTTTGTAGGTTATTGTATTGATAGAAATGTTACAAAAACTTGTAAATTGATTTGAATTTTGCCTTTATTCAAATCGCATTGTGTTCTTTAATAAATTAAAATGGTTTTTTAATTTAAACGATTAAATTTGATTTGGTAACTAATAGAAAAATATCTTAAATAATTATGATACGATTAAATGGATTTTCTGTAATCTTTTTTTGTACCTCTTTCGTGTCAGCCAATTTTCTTTTCAACTGTCTGAATTCTTTCAATCAACAGCAATTTATTTCAACTAATTTGCAATTGATTTCGGTTAGTTAAAGATAATTAACTTTTTGTGTAGAGAACAGACAAAGCCCAGCACGCGTTTCAGCCATTCCCCATAAAATTAAACCTCCGCTTAGGCTAGCTAATTTAAATCCGGATCTAATTGCAAGGCAGTAAATTTATGTAAGATGTAATTTTGATTAGTTGCCAAGTGGCTCATAAAGACAACCAGTCGCACATCAATAAGCCAATAAAAATTTGCATACAATTTTCATGGTTTTTATGTACTGATATAAAACAATAAGCGCATTTGCATAGGTACAAGTATAGTGATCGCTTCACTGAGAGAATCCACTGTTGCTGGGCGAAATAAGAGTCAGTTGTTCTCACGTTACGAAATGGAAACCAGGTTGAAGGCCTCTCGCCGAAATGGAAAACTACTTAATTAGACGAAATGGAATCAAATTGTGCAAAATGACAATTGTAAGCGACAAATTCCATATATACAAAACACAGTCAAAATTGATCAAAATCGATGCAAAGCATTTCCAATCAGTGATTTTGCATAAAACCCAGCGACTCATCCAAGCGGAAATACAATGGGTGGGGCAAAACAGATTCAAGCCTAGTCAGATTCGTATTTTTAATCAGTTTTAGTCCGAACTTTGGGGGTTAGGCTACTCTAGATTTGACAGAAATCATCACATTAGCTCTATTGCTGTTAATGTTTTCGAAGTAAACCTTATACTTAGTACTCTGGACTAAAAAGTATCAACCAAACAGTCCAGGTTAATTAGTTCTTACAAAAATATTGTTACTGAAGTTAAAACATATATTCGTGCTATTTGACAATTTAAATGTTTTCTTTCTTTTTCTTTTGAACTAAAGTGCAATAATTTTGAGATTAACTTGTTAATTAGATAAGTTTGTGGTTTTAAAAATATAATAAATTTATTTTTCTTACCATTTTAGTTGCCCAAATATGTCTGTGCTGCGTGCACTGCTCCTGCTGGCACTGAGTGCCGTGGCGTTGGCCCAACGTCGCCTGGCCCTTCCCGATCCAAGGAGTTGCGCCAACCGGGTGCGCCATGCCAGCTACCGGGATGCCAGGGGCGTGTCCCACTCGTACTTCTTCAGCTGGGAGCATGCTCCGACCCGCAGTCTTGAGGTGGACTGGCTGGATGCGAGGAACATCTGCCGCCGTCACTGCATGGATGCCGTTTCCCTGGAAACGCCGCAGGAGAATGATTTTGTGAAGCAGAGGATCGCCAGGGGCAATGTGAGATATATTTGGACTTCGGGCAGGAAGTGCAACTTCGCCGGCTGTGACAGGCCCGATCTGCAGCCCCCCAACGAGAACGGATGGTTCTGGTCGGGATCGGGAGCCAAGATTGGACCCACCTCGCAGAGGAACACCGGCGATTGGTCGGCAACGGGCGGATACCAGCAGCCCCAGCCCGATAATCGGGAGGCTGCCCAGGGCAACGACGAGAGCTGCCTGTCCATCCTGAACAACTTCTACAACGATGGCATCAAGTGGCACGACGTGGCCTGCCATCACATCAAGCCATTCGTGTGCGAGGACTCCGACGAGCTGCTGAACTTCGTTCGCTCCCGGAATCCCAATGTCCGCTTGTAATTCTAACTAGCCTAAGCTTGAAGGAGATGATTAAAATTTACATATTTATGTAGCCTTAAACGGAACATTGATTGGTTGATTGATTGATTGATTGTTTGATTCATTGACTGTTCAATCCAACACTGATGGCTTCCAAAGCGCCTAACATTCGTTTGTTCGGTTTAGTTCGCAGCTAAAGTTCTAAAAACAAAATTTGAATAACATTTCTGTGTCGATCCGCGCATGATAAACAAAATTGTTAAATAATTTTAAAAATTGTTAATAAATACAAATTGAACCCAACAGTGAAAGACGATTGTTTAAACATTTAATGCATATATTTGTATTTAGTTCATTATACGATTTCACTAGAAAATGCATGTATGTAAATATATATATATCCGTGGATCTGTTTAATAGGTATTTCCTTTATCTGAATACTTTGGTAAGTTCTGTTGCTTGCGGGAACTTATTTGTCTAGTTTGTTAACACTAAAACTAATTTCATTTACGTTTAGGGATAATTAAATTATTAAACGGTTTTTTAGCCATTTTGAGTTTTGAAGAAGACACAAAGTTAGCAGATTTGATCTAATAAAGTAACTGGTACAGGTTGCAAAGAGTGCATCATTATCCGATATTCTATTAAAATCAAGATTCGCCGAAATCTAGCAAATTAAAGTCAAAATAATAATATACAAGCTTAACACTAAATTAAAAATCTAATTTCGGTATTCATCCTTTTTCAGGCATGCTTTGAAAAAATATACAAAAATATTCAATAGATGTAAATTTTGAAGTACAAATTAAAAGAATCGTTCAACGTAAAAATCTAACAACAATCAATAGGGAATTTATAAACTTAGTCACATAAGCTTAGTCATAGAAATTAACAAGTGATTTCGGTTAACTGGAACTTATTTAACTGGTCGTTTAGCACAGAATATATATTTCGGTTATCGTTTATGGATGGTGTGTGAAGTTCTGTGTATTTATGTGGGAACTGTGGTGGTGGGTGTTGTTGCTGGTATTTTGCTCAACAAAATACGGTCCTAAAAAGGGAGAATTACAAAGTCGTTAATACAAAATGGAAAAGCATTGGGAAGGGTCACAGAACGTATGGTTAGTTTTGCCAAATTTAGCCAAAAAGCGCTTGCGGTTAGTTTTGGGTTGGATTAGTAGCCACCAATTCTGGGTTTTTCATGTGTTTTATGGGGTTAGTCACATGCGCATCTTCTTAGCCAAGTCTCCAACCGTTAAGCCCAAAATCGAGCTTTACCTTCCGCAAGACAATTTCAAATTCAACGACAACATCGAACAAAGGAACACCAATAGAGTCTATGTTATGACTACGTTGTGGTTACGCTAACGCATTACGATCACTACGCCTACGCCGCAGGCTCGTGTTAATTGAATACTTCAATATTCGATTTGTTTTCTGGTTAGCTGTGCGTGTGGGTGACTGAGTTTCTGAATTTTGGTATCATTATAATGATTTTGTTGGACTTAAGCAGTACTTGAATTATGTGAGGCGCCACTGATCGCATTGAACAAAGCCATGCTGTTGCGCTGGTTTACGCTTTCGGCATCGTCGCCGAGCGGCTGGAAGGACTCGTCGTCGAGCAACTCACTGAGCGCCTGGCACAGCTTCTCGTAGTTCTCCTTCAACACGTGGTGGTACTCCTTTTGGTCCGCGCTGATTATTCGCTCGTTCAGGAACAGGGCCTTCTGACAGACCACAATGAAATCGCTGCAAGGATAAGTCACCGTTTAATAAAAGGAATAAAATAACATAATAAAAGCTAAAAATACCGAAAGACATCCTTAAGATCTCCGACGCGATCCATTGAGAAGTTATTGACCACCTTGGCATCGAGGAAGGCATGGGCATAGGCCAAAGGACCGGCATTGACCGTCACAGCCACACTTCCCTGCAGTCGGAGCTGCAGCTTCTTGACATCGGCTGGCGGGAGGATGATCTCCTCCAGCTCTGAAACCTTGGATTGCATCTCATCGATGGCCACCTCGATGGGACTCAGTTCGATGATTTCGCGGGATTTTACCGGTATACGTTTGAGAACATAGGGAAAAGAGTATTGAGCTGCATAAAATAAATGACAAGTTAATATTGAATGACAGATTAATAGAAATTTCTTGTTACTTTTTATAACTGTCTTGCGTTTCCACTGCTCTTCCACGCTGCCACGGGCTGCTCCTGATTTGGTGAACGGTGTTTCGTACATAAAAGTGTCCACATCATGATTCTGCTCGAATTCGTTGAGCCTCTGGTCGAGTTCATCCTTGGAAAAGAATGGAATCACGTGGGTGACCTGTATGTAGGCTAGTTTGGCATCCAATTCGTCCACTTTAACCTGAAATATAAGATAAGATACATTAAAAAACTATTATTTAGAACATATTAATAAATAGAAACTGAAAGGCAAGACTGCACTGAAAAGATATTTATGAATAAAAATCGCGTTAAATAGGAATTGCCTTTCCGGAATTTACGAAAAAACCGTTTTGAGAAACGTAGAAGGATTAAAATCGCTGATAAATAGTAAATTGCTTCTAAAGCTTCTCTTCACTCGAATCGAAAGAAAGGTGGAGGTAGTGTAGTTTCTTTGAGATCAAGTCGTCACCCCACCAAGTATCAGAGCTTGTTTATACAATCTTTATCCACTTCCTTCCCTGAACCGATGTAGTTCAAACAATTCAACAACTTTACTAGGCAATAGTAAATTGTTTGTTATTTTTATACAATAACCACTGTCGGTACACTAGAGACGCAGTATTGTCCAAATTTTGTATACATTTCGCGTTCACCTTCTTTGGCACAAACCACCAGTTCATCAGATAGTTGGATATCCAGACAGCATTCACCAGTTTGCCGACTGTTTCCATTATGGAGCAGTTCTTCGCATTCCCGGCTCGTGGAATGGGGCTGGGATTGGTCCAGATTCAGCATCAGAGTGCAAGTCCTTGTGCGGCGGAGTACTCGCTCAATCCGAACGCAGTGGAATTTGTGCCCTCTTATCGTCAGAAACCGGAGTTCTCGAATTTTGAAACCAAAACGGAAGCGACTTCGACTACCACATTGCTTCAACCTGAGATCGTTGGAGATGCCGTCGAGCATGTTGAAAATGGTTTCTATGTAAAGCGGCAGATCTTCGAGTTCCTCAGCCAATTGGGAGATGAACAAATGCCGCTGGAGGAGATTTCGGTGGGTTTGCTGCCAGGAGGTCAAGGTCTCAGCATGACATTCAGCACCAAACGGCCGGACCAGCAGCTCCATCCACCGGATCCAAATAGTCCCATCTTTCACGGACGCCAGAGCCTGCAACTGGCAGTAGGCGATCAGGAGAAGCTAGCCAGCAGGCCGGAGAGCGTCTTGATCGCCCAATTCCTCATCCGGGTCAACGATCTTGTCAGCGAGAAGTACGAGTACGGCGGAGATGGCTCTATTTGCCCCAAGTGCACTCTATGCTCCAATCGAAGCTACACGGAATTGGAAATCGAGAACCAGATCGAGGGGATAAAGGCCTTCGAGAACTTTTTTACGTTCACGGAATCCACTCGCTACCAAGACTTGGTTTCCCACAAAGCCTTCAAGGAGCTGTGCCACAAGCTGGGCTTAATCGTTAGCCGAGATCAGATTCACATTAACGGAACTTGCGCTGGGGCAACTACAGTGGTCGCTCCTCCGCCACCCTCGGTACAGTCCTCCAGTGTCACCGTTTGCATTTCCCAGTCAAACAACGGAATGGAAACTGACTTGGAGGCCGAGGCTTATGCCGGCGATGACGAATCGCAATCGAACAGACGTGAAATGGCGGCTAGAGGAAGTGCCGGCACATCGATCCCAACGGAATACGTGAGGGGAAAGCTCTACAGGTGGGTTATAAGTTATATAAGCTGTATTTGGCCAACCACAATATTTTAGAATATAATTAATGTCGAGCTTCAAGAGGCACCTACCAAAAACAATGAAAGATCACAACGTTCCTTTTAACTAATTTTAGGTACGAGGACTCCGAGGGATCCCAGCTGGTTAACCAGCTGAATGAAGCTGAGCAAAAAAGTGAGCCAATGATGGTCGATAGCTTCGACTTGAATGTACCACCAACCACGCCGGCCAAATCCGTGATGGGCACAAGTGTGCCGGCTACCTTTCCGCGGGTCTACAAATCGGCCAAGGCCAAATGTTCCGCTCGGGGCGCTGGACCTAGTGGCCTCCAAAGCGGATCACAGTGTTACAGGAGTTCGGTTTATGGGAACTCGGTAGTGCAGGCGGCTCAGGGCACGTCCGCAACTATGCCAAAATGTCGGCTCACGATGGGTGGTGGCCAGTTTCAGAATGGATCGACTGGGACTGCCGCCCGTAAGCTCCCAGTGGAATCATGCACACCCAGTTCAGCTCGAAAGCAAAACCGTTTGAGTGGTGCGAAATCTGGATGTGTTTACCAACAATCTGGAAATAATTCTGCAGCTGTGGCAGGTCGAGTAACCAGGTCGGGAAAACTGGGAACCTCTCTTCAGAAACAGCAGTCAAGTCATGGGTGAGTCATATATTAATTTTAAGTTCCTCGTAAGTTTGCGAACATTTTTCGGTTATCTAAAATCTTACTCAGTTGCAAGTCGAGCAAAGGTGCCGTAGCTAGTAGGATGGGCATGACCAACTCGAAGCAAACCCATGGCACATCGCAGCGAATGATCCCAAGAAGCACCCAAGCTTCAATGATGCGTCAAACAGAGGTTAAGCGGGTAAATTAAATTTCTTGACTTTTATACTCTGTTTATATATTAAATTTTTAGCGCATGAGCCTTATGCGCGGCGACAGTGATTCGGATCTGCTCTACAATGAATATCTCTTCAAGTGATTTGCAGATGAATTGCATGGATTTGTTGCTTCTTTTTCAAATATAACTGTTTTCTCAAACTCAATAGATAACAAAAAAATATTGCATTTACTTTTAATACTAGTTGGCTTAAAACAAAGTTGACAAAATCCCAGTAGTTTTTCTTATATGCCTGCATTAAATATAATCCTTTAACTACTTCAAATATATTCATATCGAACTCTACTCACCGGCGACGAATCCATGATCATCTTAACCACATCGGCTCCAAACTTCTCCTTGTACTGCTCGGCCAGTCGCTCAGAGATTTCGCTCAGCGAAGTTAGCTTGGGCTCCTTGTAGACATACTCGATCGCATGATCCTCTTCAAAGTACATCTAAAAATACAAATATAAATTAAATAAAAGAAAATCTATTCTTGTAACCCATACCATTCCATAAAAGACGACTCTGTAAAAGCGACCCAGCATTCTCTTTCCAGAACGATTCACCTCTACTATTTTGTTGTAGGCTTGGGTGAGATGTTCGTAACAGTGAGCCAGGTCCAGATAACTGCGATCCCTTTCGTACATGGGTAGGATAAGTTTGTAGAGCTCTCCGAGGCACTCAAACCTTTCAGCGCGGTCCAAAAAATCGGCACACTGTTTCAGTTGCTCTAGGAGCATTTGTTCTGTGTACTGGGAGTCCTGAGCACCGGCATCCAGTTTAAGACCCTGTTCATCCAGCGGAATATTCCTGGATATCTTTTTAAACGCAGTTGATGACCAACTGAGAGTGCAACCACCCCTTAAGCGGAGATATTCGCACATCAAAGCAGCTATGTGGAGATGACAGCAGGCAGCCTCTGAGAGATTTCCATTCTGCTCGTGATTTCTGGCCATGGTTACCAGCCAAGTGTGTCGGAGTTCCGGCGTTGAGGCATACGAATTGGCAAGGGAATACTGTAGTTCCAACAATCTTTCTGGGTCCATATGATGTGCTTGCATTTGGGCAGTGGCCATCAAGACAGTGCGGACTCGACGCGTTAGATCCTTGACCTCCATTGGGAAACCCGTGCCCTTCATTGCCTTGTCGCTATTTGCATAGCTGTTGATGATGGACAAGCTCTCCTGGAATCTGGCGTTGTTAAGTCCAATCACATTGCCAATCATTTGGGACACTGAGATAATAACTTGCAGGTGTACTCGTGTTAGGGCTTTTCTGCCACTGAATTCGAAGTTACTCCTCATAAGGAGATATAAAACGGCACAAGATTCATGGCGAATCTCCACCAGTCGACTATCGCAGGCTTTCAGGAGCTCATAAACCATCTGACCACACAACATGGCATTTCCTTTGAACAAGGCTACTGCATAATTGTTAATAAAAGCTCTTAAAGCAGCGAAGACGTGTTTTGAGAGCCTTTCAGATTGACCCAACTGCAGGAATCTCAGGTAAACTCTGGCCAACTTGGGCAGGATTAAGCTATCAGCCAGGAGTTGTCTAAACTGCAGGACATACATCCCTAAGCAATCCAATATAATCATGCCCACCTCAGTGGCCAAATTGGATTCATAAAGAGCCAATTGACTCTTAGCCAGAGTATCCATATCCTCTAGTAAATGTTCCCTAGTTTGATTCAGAGTTCCACTATTTGGCTGCTGATCCTGGTTGCCATTTTCCAATCCTGTTGGGGGCTGAGTCCTCGCTGGCAGAGTGTTGGCCTTGGCCAAACGTCCTTGACGGGAGTCTGGAGCTATTACCACACTTTTCTTGCCCACATAGCGGAATTGCAACAGGCAAAGATCCAAAATGGAGAGAAATTGCAGTGTCTCGGACTCATTGCAGTTCTGCCACCAGCCCACCATTTGGTCCTGTGAGAGGTGCTTGATGATGAATAGGAAGCCCAAGAGGAGGTCCTTGCTCTCCACCGAGCTGAACTTATCGCAACGGGAGAGTATCTGTGCGTGCGTTACGCTCACTGAGCGATTGTGTCCATTGCGAAGTGCCACATCCGTATCTCCATTGGTGTAGGCTCCTATTGTGGTAGTGTCCTGAGAGTGCTGGAAATAAAAATTAAGTTTAGCAAGGCTTGGCTTTATTTGGCTAAGTCCAAAACTCACCCCCGAGTCCGTATTCGAGTTAAGTGAGAGATTAGAGATACCATTGCTAATGGGTTGGCCAGCTATGGCGGCTAAATAGTTGTGCTCCTTCATGTGAACCGAGGTGCGATATGGACTCGGTTGATCGCAGTGCAGGGTCAGGCGATTCTTCGAACGCGGAGTGGACGTTAAGGAGCCAAAAGTGGAGGAGTCCTTGCTAAACACATAGCTACTGGAACAACTCAAGCGCTTGGTATAGGAAGCAGAGTCTGCATAAACATGTCCATTGGGCGTACAGGCTCCAGACTCCGATAAATCATCAATCCGATGGATGTTGTCCATCACAACGCCCAACCAAGGAACATATAGTAAGGCAATCCTCGACAGCTGACCCCTCTGTTGATATCGGTTATCCAACTCATGTTTGGCCAGCAGATCCTTGAATATTCCCAAAGCATGTCGCCTTACGTGGCCTACTTCGTTGAGACTGCTCTTCAATTCCTGGAGTAGTAGTCCCGACAGAAAGTGTTGCCGACAAAATTGTTCGGAAAGTGTGAAGTGCTGCATCATTTCAGGCGGACGGTTCTTGGGATTCAAAACAAAAGGGAGATTAAGAGGCACATAATGCTCATGCTGGCAGATCTCTTGCAAAAAGTTGAACTTGTATTCGTGAAGTATACGGGGATTACCAGGCGAAAACTCTCCCATATAACAACGAATCAAGCGGAAGACAAATCCTCTGTCCATGTAACTTAGACACTGTCGTACAAATTTGGCCAAAGATCGATTTAGTAGATGAGTTTCCTCACTTAAGTCCTGAAATCGAGTGGTTATGTAGGGCATCAATGCTTTGATCAGCTGCTCCACCCGATCGGCATATTCCTTGGGAAACCGCTCGTTGCGCAGCATTCGAATTCTGCCAGTGGCCAACAAATGCTGAGCCATACTCTTTACAATCAGATCGAAGAATATCGAGGAGTATCTCATGAATTTGTTTACGATCAGAAAATCGGGATTGCTGGGATTCAGGAGGTAGGGCAAGTGCCTGCAAAGTTCTCCATGGACAGTCCTCTGTCTAGCTGTTTGCTGACTGTAGTAGGGTGCGTGAAATACGTATTTTACGTAGGCTCCCAAAAGATCGGCTCTCTTAGCCTGATCGCTTATTAAGTGGATAATGTTTGTTATCAGGCGGATTACATTCAAGCCTATTTCTTCGGATTGAGTGTGAACTAGCAAAGTAAACAGCTCATTAAGAAGCGTAGGTAAATAGTTAATCAACGATTTCATATCGATCGCGTGGGCAGCTTTCAAGATCTTGCAGGTTTCCGTTTCCGCCGGCACTGCTCCAGTTTTGCCTCCCTCCAGCAATCTTTCGCAATGCCCAAAAAAGTTATGCAAGTGCTGATCTGCTGTAAGAACCGTTGAATCCAAACGCAATCCCACCGTATACAGATTCCTCTGGTTATCGATCCACTGGATATCCGGACCGCAGTTCTGCTGAGAAATTGGAAGGGTTTGTAGGCAGCCAAGGGGAGGATTGAGTGTGGTGTTGTGGTGGTGCGGAAAGCATGCAGATCAGTGCGGAGAGAAAAAACACAGAAAGAGAGCACAGGTTAGTTGGCAAGCCAGGGAATGAATGGATGGATATGTTTGTATGTTTGGGTAAGAGACAAACAAATAACATTTCATGAGTTGATGAACAATTTTAGCGAAGCACACAACGTCTCTAACTTACCCCCTTGCCCCATCCCAAGGGCTGAATGGAAAGATAGCCCACTGGCAAAGTGGCAGCCACCGGGAGTTGCTGCTCCTCCAAGCAAATCCTATTCTTCTGCAGCAATGGCAACCAGGCATAGCCAATAGGCGTCTCGAAAGCCGCATGAGCATCCCTTTTCTTGCTCAGATTACAGGACACATGGTAGAAGGAGAAGAGGAGGTGGTGTTCGGGAAACAGTCCCAAAGGAAGACGCAGCTTGATCTCCTCGTACCATGTGGGCGTCACATTGTGATGCAGCACCGGGCAGGCTATCTGGGAAACCAGAAGATCCTGCCCAGGACGACCATAGATGCACTGCAAGCAAGGAATTTTATTAGAAATTTGAAATATTCTAAAAATATTTTTTTCTCACCTTCAGAGGTTTGCTGTACTCTCCATCGCCATCCCGCAGTTCCACCACCACCGTAATGTTCCTGGCACGTGAGAATAGTTTCTGGCTATCGAACTGCAAACTCAGTGGATACACATAGAGGTGGTTACAGAAACTCGTATAAGGATGGGCATCCCGTTCGCTCTGGCTTTGAAATTCGGCCAACTCGACAGTGGGCGATTGCTTAGAATTTGGACTGAAGGTGGACAAAGGAGCCAGTGATTTACTCAAGCCGCAGGGTGTGGTCTGATCGATGAACTGCATCTGCATCTTTAGGCTTCCAGGAATAATGGTGAGTTTGCTTAGTTTCTCGGGCTTACGATAATCTACTAAGAGCTTGAGCAGCTCATCGTCCTTAAGTTTGGGTAATTCCTGGCGGTAAATGGGGCTGAATTCGAACTCCTTTTTGGGATCAACATCCAGTTCGTGGCTGTATTGCTTGAACAGTGGTCTAGCTGCCCAGGCAAAAGGCTGCCTATAATGCCCAATATGCTGCGCACAGCTCTTCGCGGCTTTGTAGACTTTCTGACCAAGCTTCGGATCCTTGCCAGCTTTCAGATAAGGTTCGGCAGCCTGGGCTATTCCCGATTGCAGAAGTTTTTCCACTCGCACAACCTGTTAGACATTAGTTTTTATCATCAGCTCTAAAAAAGACATGGAATCAATTACATACCAAATAAATATCCGCATGTGGGGCAGTAACTGAAAGCAGACACTGTCTTAGCTGCTGGAATTGCTGGCGATTCGAGCGTAGCAACTCCGCGGAGACTCCATCGAATAGGGAGTGAGGTGCCTGGGAGGCGGAGCTTCTCTCTTCGCCCTCCGCTGACTTTCTAGGAACTCCACAACCAGCAACAGATGAGGGAACTGGAGTGTTCGGTAACAGCTGGGCGGCCCACTGTTCATTCACGTTGAAGTAAAAGTTCTCGCTCAACTTGCGATTCGCCTTGGCATCGTACAATGCCAGACTGGTGATATAGGGCTCCACTTGTTGTTCGACTCCACCAGCAGAACCTTCGTCCTGTGGGATGCACTGCAGGCGGAAGCGCAGGTTGTGGCAGGTAAGCAGTAGCCGTGTGCCAAAGTGCTCTCGATACTGTTCCACATTATCACTACCACTGCTCTTAGCTGGCGACTGATAGCAGGCAAATAAGCGTCGGCGTTGCTCCCTTCTGGCCAAAGCAATTGAGTGATCCGTTTCCCTTCCATACTTCATCAATTGGGGGTGCAGTGATTGATCCAGACCCTTTAGAGTACCAAAGGTTGGGGGTTCCATTGCTGGTGGCTGGAGCTGGGGGCTTGGATTCGAGCCGATAGATGGCTGGCGCTCCAGCGAAGCATTACGTTTCTCCTCTTGGGCGCGATTCTGAGCTAACACCGAGGATATTTTGCTAAGCCAGTCCTTGAAGTCCTGCTCGTTCTCGGCGGCCAGGGTAAAGGATTTATGCCCCGTCGTCATGCGCAGTTCGAAGCAAAAGCGACCACGTTTGGGGTTCTGGAAGGACATAATCATTATTATTTGTAGATTTTGAACAAGGTATGTAGCCACTCACCTGCACCACATCGGTGCAAAAGTCCATGACTATAGTGGCCTTGGCTTCACCCTGCTTCTCGTCCTTGTGCAGTTCTAATATGTAGGTACCATCAATCTCCTGGCGCAGATAGCAATAGCGACGCTTAAATGACTTGTTGCCAATGTTGGCAAACATGCGATCTGACGCCGAATCGGGACCTTTGAGGAGATAACCCTGCTTAGTAATTGTGTCCGCCTGGGAGCGAGTCATCTGCTCGTCTATCCTATCCTGATCTGCATCGATTTCGTAGACCTCCTCCAGCAATTCCTCGGCTGGGGAGGTACTGAAACAAAATATTTAATTAGATTTAAATTCGTTAAAAAGGAAATCTATGAATAATCACCTGGGCAGATCATGGCAGTTCCCACCGTAGGCATTATATTTATAGTGAATCAAATGGTTTTTAGCCCTGTAGGTGTACAGAGCTTGTCGCGTGAACCTGGTGCATTCCGCTCTGGATCCGTGAGCATGTCCATCCACTATGTCTTCGCCGTGCCCATCGTCTGCAAACTCATCCACCTCTTCCGGCTGGGCCAAATGTGAACGGAGCGTAATCGAGGAAAGGGCGGACTCATATGAGGACTCTTTTTGGCTGGAGGAGCCACTCGAACACTGTGAACTCTTCCTGGAGAGTTGGCCGTGTCCGTTGGAGTTGGTCAAACTGCTGCTACTGCTACTGCTGGTGTGTCCATTGCCATTTCCGTTGTGGTGGCTCCCATTCGACTGAATGCTTCCCTGTCGACTCACTTGGCTGTGTCCATTTCCATTCCCGATTATAGAAGGACCATGGAGAGGACACACGATCGCTTCATTGGGTGGATCAAATCTGTCGGCCACGGATTTGGCATTGGTCCGCTGCTTTCGCGGCATAATAATCTCCTGGTGGATTACCGCAAAATATTCGTCAATAAGTTAAGTATTATATTAGGTTAAATGTACACCATGTTAAAGTAACATTTATAAAAGTATGCCTTAAATTGAAGTTGATATTAAACCTTAATTTGAATTTACTTGAATTGAAATTATTTCCGCAAGGCATAGCTTTCCTTTTAATACTAAACTATGTTCTTTTTTTTGGTAAACATAAATATTTAGTTAATTTATATTAACAATAATTTCTTGTTCAAAAATTGTTGTGGGTCATAAATCATTGATTATTCGTTGAAAAAATTCCTTCCGCTCATATGACTATTTTTGGGATTCAAATGTTTCTCTACTCACCGAGACATCATCAGCGGGATAAATGAGAAGCTCCCTCTGCGGATCATTTTGGATAACAGTTTTATTTTTGGCTATAAAGGCTTCGAAATCTATCGGCTCCACAACCATAGGCTTGTTCTGAAACAAAAAGAATGAGATAAGTATAGGATTCTATATTCAAATGTTTGTTTGCTAATTTATGCGGGCCACTTGTAAAAGCAGCGCGTCCCTATAAATAGCATTATCCAAAAAATAATGCCCAAACGTTATCCATTCCCGATGCCCGAATGCAGGCGGATTTTGAGAGATTTATCGATACTACGCGCGTCATAAATTTATGGCTACTTTGTGATGTGTGAGTTCAGTTTTTTTTTCACTCCCCCACAAAGAAGGGACCTTGACCGCATTACAAAGCGTTCTCCCCCTCCTCGTGTAATGATATTTTCCACGTCTGCCACTTGGCATAAACAAATACATTTAGTTTAAACATCTTAATATTTTGCATTTCTTAGCACCCGCAGGCGTTGCTTATATTTTCTGCTTTTGCGTCTTAGTTTTCGCAAGATGATAATGAAGATACTAAAATAACTGTGCTATGAGTTGTGTGACCCAACCTGTGACCCCACCTTTTATGACATGTCCATAGAGGGTTAAAGTGCCACTTCCGTTTTGGCATATTTTTTCAGGCGACAGTTGGATGTTCTGTCATTTTATTGTTTTCTTGAAATTTGAGGTGTGTGGGCTTGTTTTCTGTTTCATTCTTGGGCTTGGTTTGTTCAGGAAGACACAGGTCAATTCAGGCCATGGGAAATAGGCATTTAAAACTTCGCTTGATTGCGTTTATTTCCCGACATTGGAGAAAGGATTGTTAAAGGTTGGGAATGGTTTTTGAAATAAAAAGAAACTTTGGGCTGGGTGTTTAATACTAATATTTATATTTATTTCTAAAAGTATTAAACAACAACTTTAAATCAGTATACATTTTCTTTTCTTTATTGATTAATAATTTTTCTACAGGATAGTTATCTTTTTTTAAGCATTTAAACTGAATTTTTGAACTTTTAATTAACCTTATTACAATAATAATAGTTGTAATACTACAAAATTAATACAATAGTTAGAAGATCACTGTTTACTAAATTTTTAGGTATAATAAAGTCATATATTTAAATGTTAATATTTCTAGTGTTTATCGTAACCAATAAATTTGTTCCAACTTTCCCCAACATTTTTATAGCTTTACATCAAAAATCTATAAATTATTGACAGGTAATCCGTCTACAAAATCAACTGCCTGCTTGTGCCTCTGGCAAACCTTGGCTTTGGCCCTGATTCTACTCGTATGCATTTCGTGCCAAGCCATGTCCACTTAAGTACCGCCCCTTTCTATCCCATTCCTCCAACCAGAGCTGCAATGTCAATGCACTCGCCCACTTAGCCACTTTTGGGCTTGAGCATGGGGGAAAGCATTTTCCATTGTGAGCTCAGGCTCGGGCTTTTTCCTGCGGCTCCTCCATTTCGCCTCTTGGCACGCACTGCATGCAAATTGGCAGACGTCGCCGCTTGCGTAATTAAAACCACAAACCGGCGACAAGCCCAACCAGTAAAAAAAAAAGCTACAGGTACAAACTTCACCTACGGCTATGCGACAAGTGCATGGGCATTACGCAAAAAAGGTAAACTCATTAGTGATCGGCCAATTACAAAATCAATTGGCCAGCCCAAAAGACCGAGAAAGTTGGGCAAACATTTTCGGTGGTTAGTTTGTTGTCTTTTTTCGATTTGTGTTGGCAAATGCTAAATGAAAAGCGAATATATAAAACTTAAAAATGCATCGCCATGGTGGTCGGATCAGTAGTCACGCAAATTTGCGGTGGTAGATTTCATCAGGCACAACTGGTCCAGCAAGGCGTGAAGACCTCATAGATTCACCAGCGACCATACGCCAACGATCACTGACCATGATCTCAAGCCATCAGCCACTTAATGTTTATTAGTAATGGCATTTTATATAATTATTTTAGACAAACATTGGAAAAGATATTAGTCAGAAATAAACAAACTAGAATTAATTAATTTGTCAGGTAATAAAATTAGGACATAAATTACCAATGTTTATTTACTTACATTTTTCAACTGCAATTATCTAATATGAAACTAAATAAAATACTTTAACATGTTCTAAATTTTCAAGCTGTATTTTTTGCAGATATATATGTAAACTTTATTTCATTGAAAATTTTAACTTACTTCCCTGATAATCTTTCTTGTAACCACTCTCTCTACTAAACCCTTTTTTCTACTTTTTAGTTGCAGTTTTTCAGGCTTCGTTTTGGCTATTATTTTTCAGCATCTCTGATTACTATCTTTGCCAGCAGCCAGTTTCAATTTAAAGTTAGCGGTTTGAGGCGCCTCGGTAGGCAAAACGTGACGATTTATGCATATTTCAGTGAAACATTGGCCCGGCCTCAAGAGGCAGTGGCAATCATGCCTTCCCTCATCATCCGACTTCCCCTTCTAAATAAGACTTGACTTTCATTGATTTTGCCAAAGCAATTGGCCCTGGTATGTCTTGAATGTCACTTGAGTTGGTGTCCCTTCTTCATTTTCCTCGCTTATCAATTGAAAAGGCAACAATGCGGTATATGCCTTCATTTATATCTGCTATATATACCCAGACGTTAAAAAGAAATGGTGGAAAGGGTCATGAAATGTTGGCTCGGCTCATTTAGATTTAGCTTTGAAGTGGAATCCGTTCAAGTGGTCTATACTCTATACTCTTCTCTTCCTGATTTGCATTTTGTGGGCACGGAATTATTGTGACTAAATTTAGCTTAACTTATTGCATATGATTTGTTGCGTCTGAGTCTGGTGAACTTTTGACCCGCACGAAAACAGATTTTGAGAGCTTTCCGAAAGTGTAAGTGGTAGCAGAAGTCAAAAACAATTCAGCCCCTTGAATATGGAAATTTTTCAAATTTTTAAAAGCTTTGCAATTGATAGTGTAAGTACAGGAAGTTTAGATAGTGTAAAAATGTATGTTAAATTCCTAATGGAATACGAAAGAAAAGAATTATTTATCAAATTACTTATACAATTATATGAATCTTGAATTTTTATCATGTAGCATTTGCTACATTTTCATTAAGCCTTTGGGGGTATTCCCCTTTTCGATCTATCATTATTCCTATATTTGTAAACAAATATATGGAACAAAAAGTAAACAAAAGTTATGATTTGTTTATTTGCAGTGTATGGTCAATGAGAATATGGCAGCTGGCATCCGTTCTGGTATAGGAATCCGACAAATAAATTCCATAATTTTATGCCCATGCAGGGATTTCCTGCTCGACAAGCGAACATGAGCCGTGAAATGCATGAAAAGAATTGCACTGATAAAATGCATATACAATGAATTTTTATTTATTATTTTAGGTATAAATTAAAAGGCAAAGTTTTCTTTATCAGTTGCTGAACTGGGGGAGATGTTTGTCCAGTCATACAAACTGGTTTCTGCCCAGTAAGATATTTGATTTGGTCATCTTCGGTGGGTTTCACTGTTGCTTGGTTCAATGATCCCAACAACATGTTTAAATAAAATTGAAAACTCAAGCGAAGTGCAGATTTTAAACTGGCCCACCCATAAAGGTGGCGACAAGTCAGCAGTTTTCCTCACCCATTCCAGACATACCACTCAAGCTTGTTGACAAAAAAAAAAAAAACGAAAACACAAGTAAGCTGTATAAAAAAACCCAACTCAACAAATTTCTCGCATTTAGTTATACAACTAAATAATTTATGGCCTGGGCAAAAGTTGAACTTTCTAAGCAAGATATTCTATTCAAAATGGTCAACGAATTTCACCCAGTTTCAAGTCCGATTCGTAAGCAAATTTACATGTCCGGACAAATGAGGAAGCTTATCATTAGCTTCGTTCAATTCAAAGTAAATACTTTGGCAGCGGCATTCATTAGATGGCTTTTTGTTGTCCGCACAATGAGGGAAATATGGCAGAGAAATGTCGGCTGCATAAGAGTCATTTAAATCATAAGAGCGACAAGACTATAGCATAACTATGCGATATTTATAATGCACTAATCGCCCGCCGATCAGCGTTATGTAAGTCACAGATGACTATGATGTCTGCCGTTTTAGACCCGTTTAAATAAGCTTTAGTTCAGGGCGGGTAAAAGTTCCGCAAACACTTTCATTTCTTGCACAATTTTAACTTTCATAGGGAACTAAAGGTAAATATTGAAGAATATGGTAGAGATTTTAGATTTATTTGGACAAATAGTTTTAAATGATTTGGGCGTTAACAGAATATACAATTAAAATTGATTTTCTAAGAAATCACAGTACTTATTGTTATATGAAAATTAATTTATAAATAAGCAGTAAAGCAATAAAGTTATAATTTGATTTAATTTACGATTTTTTTTCCTCTCTACATATAATCTATTAAAATTTGAAAAAAAGACCTTACTCGACAAAGAAAACACTTGTTAGTCTAATGGAGCAGGTTGAGACCCTTAATGGTTTTAACCCGTCAAGGTCAAGAGCTAACTGGTTTGCACATTGCAGTCAACTTGTGTTGGGCAACTTAACTAGAAGTACAAGAATAACCAGAAGCAACCTTGAGGACAAAATGTGGGGAAAAGAAATAGAGACTATACCAGCAAAAAAAATAATTGCCCTAAAAGCAGGAAAAGCAAGTGCAGCAAAAACAGAGAAAAAGCAATGGAAAACCCAAGGCAAAAGACAAAGACACAAAAAGTTCCCACGCAGAAATAAGTAACAAAAAAAGCTGAGAAAGAGAGGTAGATAAATAATCATATAGGAAACTCATCCAATATCCAGTTCTTGGTCATGTCTCGTTGTTCATCGAATAATTACCCATCGAACGGCGCTTTAAAGAAAGTAAAAGAAAAGCCGAGAAAAGCGCACACACATTTTTGGAGTAAAAGAGCAAACAATTGAACGACAAACATTTGTTGAAAGAATATTGTGGAAGACGCTTTAATTACCGACAGTAGCCCCGATATCTTCTCATTTAGAGATGCCTTGGAAAGTTGACAGTTTCAGTGCAGTTTTCAGTGGAAAATTGGGTGCCGGCGACGAGATGGGATGGATTCTGCCATGTGTGGACGGGGCAACTTTCTAAAAAGTACTTAGCACTTTCAATTACAATTGTACAATGTGTCGGCAACGCCAAGAGGCCGGTTATAAGACGGCAGCGAGAATCTGGCAAACTAATTACATTTATGGTAGCGTCGGTTTTCCATTGTATGTGCAATGGGAGAGTGTGAAAAATGTGTTAATTACACGTCGGCGAATGGCCATCGTAAAATTCAAGTGTCTCTCATTAATTGCTCAATTGTCATGAGATCCAAACCCAAATCTCCGGGGTCGACAGACTCGCATTTGGCCAAAAGTTGAAGTGCCACACGACACACCCATTTCATAATCTTCGGCTTGCCATTTAATGCCAAAAGCGAGGACCTTAGCTGGAAAACCAGTTTTCAAAGAACGAAATCGGTGGGAGTTTATCTTGGAATTAAAAGAGTATTGATTTGTGTGGGTTGGAAAAAGGTTGGTTTAAATGCTACCTCAAATAATTATGGTTTTAAAGTTTAGTCATAACAGGTGGTCACGAAAGAGCGCAAAAAGTATACATGCATTTTAAATTTAAATTTATTAAATATCATAGCTAAGTTGAGACTTTTTATTGGGAAATGATTTTCTAATTTCTCAGCAGAATTGTTATCATCCTGCATCTGTATGAATTTTAAGCGAAGGAACTTTAATTAATTATGATTAAAATTAAGGGGCGGTTATTATGTTCCACGATAAATTTCGCTTTAGTTTTTTATACAAATAATTTCAAACTTTCGTTCAAATGCGCATAATAATTCAGCATGATTTTTATAGGGAAACTATAAATTCAAAGTATGACCAATTAATTTATTTTATGACCTGCTACCCACTATAAAATTCCAAGCATATTAATGAAGCACACTTTTAATGAAATCTTTATTTATGTCTCAATTATGCCTTTATCTGCGCCTTGCCAAATAGATCGTATCGTTCAGTTTGATAAGCCCACATATCAGTCAAAATCTGTTGAAACTATCATAAAATATATTTTCCTGCTCACACACTTTTTTCTCAAAGAGAAAATCAGCTGCGAAATGTCAAAACATTTTTGGTTTCTGCTAACTGAAAACTGGAGAACAGCAGTTCGTGCTGTCTTTTTGAGGGCATTAGAAACGATGCCCAGTCGTAACTTTCATTCTGCGGAAAAACAAAAGCCTCCGTTTACAAAAGTTGCACAGAACAAAGAATAAATCACACATGCAGATAGAAATAAAGGTTACTGACATGTCAAATGAATGTTTGTGTCTATGCCAGTAGCCTTTTTACCCATTTACGGAATGGGAATGAGATACAGTGGAACTGACAGTCGCAAAACTCCGCATGGATATTTGCTCAGAACTTCAAACACAAAGCTCGCACATTGTGATTGCCAAACGGAAGCGAGTTTATTTGGTTTAGTCGTGTTGTCTGTGTTTTTGTTTTGTTTCATTTTGCAGTTAGTAAGTGTGTCAGCTGTAGCAAGTGCTAACAGCTTACTCTACCCCCCACTCCCTCCCTTTTACCCTTTTCCCTATTTAGCGCTTCTGGTCAAAAGTGAACGACATTTGCACAAAATATTTGCAATACTATATGAAATGGGCGGGAGAATCAATAGAATTAAGATGTAGACAGGAAGGAAAATATTTTATTTTTTTATACAACTTAAAAAATATATAGGTTATCAATTTTTAAATACCCAGTAACTACAGTCTTCTTAAATGTTAATTTATTTTGTTTTAACAAAATATAGATATTTTCTTTACCTATTTTTGAAAAGTTTTTCTTAATGTAAAAGAAAAACTTTTAATATTTATTTATGCAAATTTAGTTTCTCTATAAAGATGGCAGATCCCATAAATACGATGTAGAGGCAATAGTAAGGGTGGGTCCGATGTGCAAATGATTTTGCTGTAAACAAGTTAAACTCGGCAACAAAGTGGAATTGAAATGCGAAAAGTTTTGCTCCGGAGTGGGAGGACTAAAAAGAGCTCTCCGGCAATTGTTTCATTATGCAATAGAGCAAAGTGCAACAGCACCAACTCCAACAGAAACGAAAACAATTGTCAACAATAATTGCTGCAAATAAATAAAAAATTTGTTTGAAGTGAAACATTTATCGTGAATAGCGTTTTAACTTCAATGTGGGCATATAGTGGGCATATCTATGTATGTGTGGGAGGGCGTGGTTAATGTATATTCCCAATTATTTGATGATTTCATTGAAGTCATCAACAAGTTTGTAATGGGTGGGCTTAGCAATTAATTATTTTTAAAAATTAAATCTATTATAATTCAGAAATTGACATTGTTTAATTTAATTATTAAAACAACAGGAAGTACATACAAAGATATTTTGAAGCGATTAACAACTATATTGAAACAGTGGATTTTATCTTCAACTTATACTTGGGTTAAGGAAAACCGGGCATTATCTAGTCAACATATTTTAATAATGATAAGGGGTTAAACAAAGTCTATAATGATAAGCCCACTAAAGAATCTTGTATTTTTCAATAAAATATTTAGTAAACCTTTCAGAACACAGACCAAAAATTCCGATATAATAATACCATTATTACCTTCAAAATAACTTTCGATGTAGAAAGAGAAACCGCTTGAACAGAGACAAAAGACCCTTCAAAAACCATGTGACACACATGGGAAGTTTCCTTTTCTTATTTTGATACGCTTACACTGCGAGCAACGAAAATCTCTACAATACTTTACACCTTTCACTTCCATCGAGTAGAGTTTCTCCTACGAATTTACAACCCATCCATGATCAGCACTTGACTTGGCACCTTTCTTGGTTCTTTCACATTTACTTCATTCACAGTTTTCTGCAAGTTTGTTTTCGCAGTTTAGTACTCTTTGTCTGCTTTTAATTTATCAGGGCATAACAATTTGCAGAGGAGCTGGTACATTAAAATGCAATCAATTTGTATAAAATAGAGGGAAGGAGAGGTGAAAAGTGAGGAGTAAGAGTTCTCGGTAAATAAAAATATTGTTTATTTTGGTCAGACCATAAAAAATAGCCGTGAAATTCTTGGTTCCATCAACTGTGAACGATAAAATGATGAAAATAAATTTAAACAATGATTAAACGACGCACACCTCACATTTATTTATTTATTTAGAGGCTTGTGCTTATTGTCGGACAAACGAAAGAGAAATTTAAGCAATTTAAACAAAAATTGAAGGTTTATTCTACTGTAATTTGCTCACTCATTGTGGGAATTGTACGAATTTTACAGTGTTCTACAACTGGCAAAACTGTACGTTTATATTTTAGTTCTTAAAATCTGGTTATTATCAGTATTTATGTGTAGTAATGTTATAAACTATTAAAGCTAAATCCAAGATGTGACCATAAATAGTACGCCAGCTCAATTGTGTACCTATTATTCACTTTTTATGTCCCAGCATTAAAACTGTAATGGGGATTGGGATTGAGTCAAACTTTAGTACGCATTCGATTGCTTGGTTGATTGCACCTGCAGATGCGATAGGAAAACTGGAAAATGCGACTCATTCTCACTTGAGACCTGTTTGATGCCAATACTTCATTTTTTATGTAGAGGTTCGTGCTCAGTATTCGGTTTCAGGTACCAGCTACAGGTAAGGCTTCAGGTTCTGGTGGAGGCACGATTTCAATGTCAATATTTACACGACTGTCGCACCGATAAACATAAAAAGTTAGCATCATCGTCGTCGTTCATTGCTGTTTTAATTGCTTTGCAGCTTCTTCCTAGTTTGGCCGGTAGAGAAAATATGCATAAAAGAAAGTTTATCTCTTGAGAAAAATCAAATTAAGATACTCATGACATATTAAAATTAATCACGCAGCCGAGCCGCAAAAAGGAACGCCATCAAAAATAACGAGAGAGTGAAAAGTCGAGCAGATGCGATGGGAGGGGGGCGGAAAAGCGGTAGAAGAGAGTCAAGGTCAGATCGAGGAATCGATAAAAGTTTGTCGCCGCCAGGCTCGAAAAATGGAAAACGAATGAGGACACATTGAGGTCACAGATTATTGTTATTGTTGATTTCGGTCGCAAAGGCACGCATATAAATGAATTGACATTGCTCCAGTTACTAGTAGTGCACGGAGAAATAAATAATATTAACTATTATTTTAATAATTTAATCAAGCCACCATTTAATTTTTGTCGTTAGAGACTTAGAAGAAGCAGCCAAAAAATATTTTTTAATGACCTGAAAGGTCAATTTATGACGAAACCAACAGGCATTTTGAATTAATACTTATATGTATATTCCTAGGGTCTTTTAGATAATTACAAAAATAACCTTTTAAAGATTTTTAAAGGAATTATGTTCACACAACCTATCTATTGTTAAAAAATAGAATTAAAGAAATAAACATTTTACAAAATGAAGGCCCATATTAAACAGATTTCCCAGTGTATATATTTTATCGTGAAATATATATTTTTACCACAATGGAGAGGCTACGCTGATAGCGGCCCGTGCAGTTCATCTAAAATGATACAGAAAAAGAGGGGGAAATGTTTGGGTCAGTATTACAAGCTTTGTTATTAATAGCCAAAGGTTGATCGGATGAGGGATATGGTTAGATGACCATGATATGTTGAGCACGCCTGCCGAACAAACAGAATCGGAGCAGAGTGGCGCTCATTAAATCGCAGCCAACTCACGTCAACTCGGGGAAAAGCCCAAACAAAAAATAAAAGTTGCGAAACGATATTTCCGGCGGGGAATGGAAAAAAAACTGTGACCGACACACAGAACAGAATCACGGAATACAGAAAATAAACAATGAAGAGAAGATGCGCAAAAAGAACAAGCTAGTAACAATGAAAGCGCAAACAAAATCAAATAGGGTTTAATTAAATGGGAAGCACGACTAGATAATGACCTGTAATGTTAATACATTAATGATGTGGGTTGGAACGAAATTATTCTATTAACATTTGTTTACAACATTTAAAAGTGGAAAATACTTTTACAGAATCAACAGAAGTTGATTGAGAAGCATATCACATTTTTATATACAAAACTGCATATCAAAATAAATTGTAATTAAAAAAAATTATATCTTGAGTAGATTCAAAGCTATAAAGTAGATTTAAAGATAAGTTTTTAGAAAGCCCATTGCTACACCTGTCTATTCCAAATGTGTATTTATTGAATAAACCGCATAGCTTCAAAAACTGAGTATACCCCATGTTTAAAATAGGGTAATGACAGTAGAATATCAAGAGCACTTGAGCCATGACCATTTTACCTACTCCACTTCCTACTACAAATTTTCCTCTTACCCCTTTTTTGGGCACTTTGCACGTGAAGCTTTCAAAAACAATAAAAATAACATTAAGTAGAGGAAATTCCCAGTTTTTCTGTTGCGACACAATTAATAAAATTAAACTAGTGTGTAATTAAACAAATTGACGTCAGACTGATAATCGGACAAATAAAACTTTAAAAGCTATTTTAACTTAAACTTTGGCTATGATTTTGACACATCTCAACTACAGATAAATTTATTGTCAATTTCTTTCTCTTTTAAGGAACCTCCTAAACCTCTTTTTATATAGAGGTGCTCAGCATAACTGGGAGATGAGGTCATGACATAAAAGGTATAAGCTGCCTTGAAATTCTTCCCGAAATGGAATACAAAAAAGCTAATTCATTCTCATAAATCTTCCGGTTTTTTCGTAGGGATGATGTTGTGTGAAATTTATGCTGTGCTGAGTTTAGTGCAAACATTTTTTGCAGTTGCAATAAACAAACCGGATACAGAAATAAAAAAAAATCAAGGCTAGTAGCTTATTTAAGCACTTAAGCACTTTCTAATGGTTTAAATTTATATAGTTATTTACTAAAGGGCCTTGAGTTCGAATTAGTCAACACCTACAAGCTAACAAAATACTTAAAGTTTCATATAACTTATTTTCTTATGTAAACTCAAGAGAATATTTATTGTATGTTCAAATATTTTACGTCGCAATTTGCAAAAGCTAATAAATTCCAGCTTATCCAGACTTTTTCAACACATATTCTGAATTCTGATTCCCTTTGTGTACTTAATTTTTTTTAACGAAAACCACACGATTGAAATTTACTTAGATATCGGATAACAAAATGCGGCACATGTGCGCTGCAATAAGTTAACAAGTATTTAAACAAACAAGGCGAAAACACATAAACAAAATTCCATGTGTAAACAGAAAGCAAGCCATAAAAGTTAACCAAAAAACAGTGTAACTTATGGTTAAGTAATGAACTGGTGTTTTTGGAAATGGAACTCCATTAGTTTGACCTGCTGAACTACATCAAAACGACGAAATTTGACTTTGCAACGAAATATTTAATTATTATGGTTTGAGAGGGAGAAATTTACTAAAAGACATTTTAGATGTGCAAAACTCCATGACAGGTTGAAAGAAGGGGACGAGACTCATTGCAACCCACTCAACCGCCGAACCACTCTTCTTTTTATTGGCGCACTCTATCTATCGACAGTTGCTTATTATGGCTTGATTGCCTGTCGGCCCGGTTGATTGCTGCTGTAAGTCAACAATTGCTTATCATTTGGCTTTGACTCTCACTTTACGCACTAATTGAATTAGGAGTACGAGAAAGAGGAACCAGAACCACACACACTCTAATTGACTTTGGAAGCGTGGCGAATGGCGCTCTAATATGATATTCGTTTGGGCCCGAAATAATGCAATTAGTGGGTACTATCAATAGAGGGAGACGGATAGATTTTTTTTTTTTTTTTTTAGATGTAGATGTAGATGTATATGTATCTGATTAGCTAATAACACGTGGGCGAAGACCCAAAAAATAAAGTCACACCCTAAGCTCAAGTTCGTCTTAATTGTTTACAGAAATACAGAGGAACATCTTAAAAACGTACAGTCTATTCATCTTCAACTTGAGCAACAGTTTTATTAACAACCCAAAGGAAAAATATAATGTTAAGTACTAACAGATGGTAGGAGCTGATGATACAGACTATAATTTAATGACCAGTTCTTAAATAATATAAAATTTACGTTTTGCAATTATACAGAATATAATTTTAAATAATAAACACTTTGTCTTTTTAACGATTTTTATATATTTGTTTGTGATTAGGCATTCTACCAAAAAGTGTATTTCTTCGAAATTAAAACCTTCCGCTTAGCACAGATTAAGGCATTAAATCATTCAAAACAGCTTCCTTAGGGAGTTATCACTGTGCTCGAATATCATTATCGTCTAACATGAATGTAAACAAACGAAGCTATAGTGGAATTTTAAATCTCACGGCCTTGGAGAATTCTTCTCTTTTGGGGCCTCTCTTCTAATCTTTCTTTTAAAGCAACAACAAAGCAGAGAATTGCGAGGAGATAAATAACAAGTTTTCCCTTTCCCTAGCACACTTAAAATGTTGTCTTTACTTATGCAACGACTGATGGGTGAAATACTTTGCCTTATAAAACATTATGATCTCGATGATATGTGCTAAGTGAAAAGAAAATATTATTAAAATTCAAAGCATTTGGATGTGTGCCAACCGAAAAAGAAAACATGCTCATATGTATGCACAGCTATAGTAGAAAAGATAATTACATTTTATCTTAAAAAGCTATGTTTTTACTCAAGAAATAAATAAATAAAAAATTATATTTAGAATAAAATGACTCCGTTGTAAAAATAATGATGTTTTTAGTTAGGTTTTTAAAATGTTTAATATCTTGAAATTATTATATGAAAAATATGCAAGTCGTTGATTCAACGACAAATTTAGGAAGCCCATATAAAATAAAAATAAAATATTCATTTTACCCTTGACAATCTAGGATACACTTTTAATATGATTTATCATATTTAAGGGACATTTAAACAAAGCTGGTATCCAAAATTGCATATGTAGATTTGACTGAACTTTTCGAAAGAAATACTATTTTGACCACAACTGTATGTTTGGGAGAGTGTTGCAATATAAGAAAATGTGCGTTTTTGAGTGAGAAATTCTGTTGAATATAGCTGGCACACAAAGTCATTCGCATTCAGACAAATTCTATATAATTTTTCTTTCATTTATAATGCTTGCATACATGTAAATATCCCACGCGCTACGCTAGAAAATACAAAAAAATTACTGAAAGAAGGTAAACAAAACAAAAGGTGACATGCATTACTGGAGACACACCCACACACGTACGAGAAGCAACAACTGCACTTCTAAAACCAAAAATAAAATTGTGAATACGCTGGGGGAGTAAGCGAGATGGCGATAACAGGTGTTATAAAGGAATTCAGAACTTACCAAAACCGCGCTCTCTCTCACCAACTGAGAGACATTCTCTCTCATTTGCACCGCTGAGCCAAGCTTATTTAAACCGCGCGTAAATTTACGCTCCATTCTGCTTGCTGTTTTATTTAGGGATAGGGATCAAAAGGCGTTACAAGTTGTTGTTGTTGTTTGGCTCTCCTGCTGTTGCTTTTGTTGTTGTTATTGTGCGAAAACCGGCAGCAATTCAAAAATAGAGAGACACACACACACTAGCGCAGTCAGGATGCGCTGCCGACTGCGCAGTCGACGTCGCTGTCAGCGATGACTAATGCGTTATCCTTGTTACATTGACTTTTCTTTCACCTTTTCGCACTTTTTTCTTCGAATTTATAAAGTTTCCTAAAAACAACACTACGATTTGTTGTTAAAGGATTTATCTGCTAAATTTTTTTATATCCATGTTATACACAAAACACCCATACAGGCACGTCCGAATTCCCACGCCCCTTTTGGCAAAAATTCGCGGGGGCCAAGGGGTATTTGCGAAAAAACAAACACCCACGAATAATATTTTTAGCAGCCTTATAGCATCCCGTGAGATTATAAACAATATACTTTAATGAGCTAAACACAGCTGTTTACACGTTTTTATTAGGGGGTTGATTTTTCGTAATTTACGTGCGTTTGTGGCATTTAAGGTGTTTTGAACGTTTTGCAGCGGCGATTTGATCGAACTGTTTCGGCGTGAAGTGCTGTATCTTTTTGATTTGCCGCTGACGAAGCGCCGAGCTCCACACGCGAACGAGATCCACCGATTTTTGGGGCTTGGGAACGCGAATTGACGGCCGGGGCAGTGTGGTCGCGCAAAAGTAGAAAAAATGTACTATTTAAGCAGCTTTAGTGATGTAGCCAGAATTATTTAACATGAAACATGTGCAGTCTTACAAAAGCACATTGCTACACAATAGTTCGGATAAGAGTTCCCAGTTTTTATCCGGATGTCGATAAAAATTAACTGACAAAAGCTTATATATCCAAAACTAATAGCGTGTCCTCGCTAAATACGGAGTATGTCCTTGATAGCGGCGGAGTACGTATGCGCTAACTGTGGAGCATAGCATTTAACCTTAAAAAAGCTAGATTTAACGAGATCTAAGCAAGACTAGCAACTCTAGTTTCATTTGCAGCAGGTGGACAGCTCGCTTTTGGTATTTACGCTTACGGTCACACAACAGAGCCATGTTAAGTGCTATGCTAAAAACAAAAATTATTTTATTTTTAGATCGAATATATTTTTTGATTGAACGATTTTTGTGTGTAAAATAAAAAAGTTTAAAGACTAAATAATTGTAAATGATTTTATAGCTTTTTTTGATATTATCATCTTAAATAAGTGTACATTTTTAGAGTAAATCGTATACATTTTTGAGTTACACTTTTCATTGGTTTCAAAAAGGGTGTTTCAAGATAGACATGTTTGCTTATTTTATTCGCCATACCAATAGCAGCATAAGTTCGATCAATAAAAACCATCGAACTTTTTTTTGTAAGTGTATTATATTTATTTATTTTATTTAACGATATGTCTACCGAAATAAGAAACCGGAAATCGAAACTAAAACGGAAAAAGTATTTAAAAGTTATTCCCTTTGCTGCGACTTATCCATTAATCAAGACCGCCCACAACCTATTTTATGCCATTTAGTTTTTAGCAAATTAAGCCATTCAAAATCCATTTAAAACACAATAGTCAATTGTTTATATATTCCATATATTTTGCATATATTTGTTTGTTTTTTATACTTTACACAATAAAAATGATAATGCATCTCAACAAAAACAATTATTCGCGCGGTACTTATCGGATAGTTTTCAAAGACAAAATTCATGCTTGCGTGTAACTTTTGCTTTTGGAATTAATTTCCCAACTACTACTTGCTTGGTTTCATTTTGCGTTGCTCTCATTTGTCGGTTATTGGTTTTTCAGTTATCGATTAGAAAATAAAATAGTCATAATTAATTTCGACAGATCCGAATGCGGATCGAGAATTATACGTCGCTCCTATATATATGTACATTGAATGCGGCATGCAAATTCTTTTCGTGAGTCATCAATTCATTGATGTTTCTGCGTTTGGTTAAACTTAAGCCATAATTAATTAACATACAGTTTAGGTGAAAGTATTTAAAGCAACTTAAACTTAAGATTAAGAGTTCCCTCTTTCTTGTTTATTTCGCGGTTTGTTTTTGTAGTGTTTAAATTTAAAATCATATGTTGATCATAATTTAGTTATATTCCATTATGGGGATGAAATGTGAAGCGAGAGTCACAGTAGCAGTCACGACAACAGTAACAGTTTACGAGTGCGACTAACGAACGAGTAACGGTTTTGTAAACCTCAAAACTTTGCTACGTGTGTTTTGTTTTTCTTGTGTGTTTTGTGATTATTATTATCATAATATTTCAATATCGATCTCCGTGTGATGCTTTGTGATTGATCGCTTTCTACTTAGGTTAAAGTGGGTATGGGTTCTGGAATCGGTTTAGGGTTTATGATTTAGGGTTAGGGTTGTTATTCTTGCGTTAAATATGCTTAAAGACTTATTTTATATATTTGGTGTACTTTTTTGAGTTTTGTGTTCTGTTTTCATTTGCTGTTTTATCGCTTTGTTTAGTTTAGTTTGTAACTGTTTGTATGTAGTATATGTATATAATAACTTGTCCATGCGCATGCCTGCTGCAACCTGTCCGATCTCTAAGGATCTGCATCTACAGCTACATAAACTAAATATAATACAGTTTTTGTTTTTGTTTGGGGTTGTTTTACGGGGGCTTCGCCAACTGTCTGCTCAACTCAACTATCCAAACGACTCTACGATCCCTTTCTCCAAAGTGTTAAACACGGCACAGTGGTTACTCCTCATCCTGGCTAACTGCCTTCCTGCCTCATCCAATCGATTATCAAAGGGTTGCGTTTGACGCTTAGATGGGCGATATCGAGAGTGGTGCTGTTGCTGTATCGGGCATGTATTCCTTGAGGAGATCCCGCAGTCGCAGTATCTCTCTTCCGGCAGCCGATAAATCGCCTTGCAGAGAGAGTTCCCGCTCCCTTAGTCGCTTGATGTCGCGCTGACAGGTCTGAAAAGGTAAAATATTATGATTAGTATGTCTTTTAGAGAAAATAATTATAGATAGAGCAACCATGAGGTCTAGGGGTATTTCCATGGAAAAGCAAATCGAAGAAAGAAAATACCCAAATAGGCCTGCTAGTTTACTTGATCCCTCTTAAGTTTTTAGTTTAAGTACTCACCACATTCTGTCTTAGTAGATCCAGCTTGTCGCACTTCAATCGCGTGACCTCCTGTCGCAGGTTCTCGATCTTGACGATCGTCTCGTTGCTGGGCGAACTACCCATCATGGTGGACTGGACGCCGTCCAAGCACAGTGAGCAGGCCTTGGTGGTGGCCTCCGCCGAACTCATGCTCTCCAGCCCAGTGTCACTGTCTATGTAGGTGGCTCCGCCGTCCAAGTGGACCATCATCGGATCCAGATCCACGCTGTTCAGGCTGGAATCATCGCTTGTCTCCGACATGGTGGCCACGGCAACCACTCCATTTTGAGCGGCACTCACTGCCGCCGCCACCACGCCTACTGCGGATCCATTTTGGGGCAAAAGTCCGCCATTGGAGCCGTTGTTGTTGTTCGCCTGGCGGGACGTGATGTCCGGGGAGGAGGAGGTGGACTCGTTCGATGACTTGGACTTGGATGAGGACTTCGAGGCCGTGCGACTGCAGGACTGTTGGGAGAAATACCAAATTAGTTCATGTTTTGAATACCTCATAAATCAAACTCACATTCAAATTGGGTGTCTGCATTTCGTGATGTGCCTCCTTCTTAGCATTCAGTGTGCCCAACTTGGTGTTCACGCTGAACTTGTCCGTCTGTCCGGGTCCATGACCATTTCCGGTGTCCACACTCTGGGAACGCACCCTCATAATTAAAGCCTTCTTCACCGTGTCGATAAAGCGGGAGCCGGCATTGCCGCCACCACCACTTTCCGCCTTCGGGGTTTCGGGAGTGGGACTTCCTGCCGATGTCTGGGAAAAGTCGGCGCCCAGAAAGTCGCGAGTCTTCTCACGCAGCTCCTCAACCAAATTCTGGAGCAGAGAGGTCCTGGTGCGCTGTTCCAGTTTGGCAAACTTGTCGGCCTTGTAGCACGCGTTCTCCGCATTGATCAGCTTGGTCAAGATGAACTCCTTGAACTCCTGACCCTTGCGGAAAACAGCGGGATTCGGCAGAGTAGGACCAAAGAAGGGCACATCATCTCTGGCTGTAACGCTGACCTTGTAGCGGGTATGTGGGGTATTTGGCTCAATGGGTTGGACCACGATGAAGGCGTGCAAGAAGTGACTGGCGATCATGTCGGGCGAGAAGGGAGTGTTGGTCTCCTGGAAAACGATGGCCACAATATCGTTGCCAATGTGCCGTTTCCTCTGCAGTTGCTGCGGATCACCCTCGGTGTGTGGCAATAGGGTGGAGACATGGAACATGATCTCGCGCTCCTTGAAAACCTCGTAGACAGCCGTATCGCCAGTATGACCATTCTGGATATCCAGTCCACCTCTATAGCCCTTGTGATCCTTGAGCCGTATCCTCTGACCCAACACATCCAAGAACTCATCGAAAGCCGGCGATGTCTGCTGGTTACCGAATAGTTCCTCCTCCGTGGTCTGTCCATATCTTTGGTAGAGTACTCCAAACTTGAAGTGCGACACGAGGACATGTTCGTCGTAGACACTGATGAGTTGCGATGCCTTGGGGCATAAGACCGGCATAAAGTTCTCCACCGTAATTGAGGGATTCAAGGTCTGCGCCATTTTCGCCGGACTCGGCTGGGGTAGCAGATATGAAACTGGAATGAGCTCGTGCATCGTGCCAGTGCGCAATCTCATCAGGATTCTCATGTGCTCCTGATTGGCAACATTCTCCGTTTTAATGGAGATTAAAATTGGGCCCAACTGCTCATCCTGTCCCACCAAATTCGAGTGCTCCCTGGCGGCATAGAATCTCCGATAGCACTTGGCCGTATCGTCCGTCTCGAACTTGGCCATCCAGGTGGTCTGCGGCAGCAGGGGATTTCCCCTGGCATCGTAGCCGCACTCGTGCTCGGTGCCATCCATCCAGTAGCCGCCGTGCATGGGCAGCAGGATCATGGGATACGGGGCCGATTTGGCCAGCGCCTCATCCAGCAATCTCTGTGAGGCGGGAATGGCCGAAACGATCGACGAGTTGGAGCTCACCGACGACTGTGATTGGTAGTGGTGTCCATTGGACAGCAGCTGGACCCCACTTAATTGCGGGGAGGCGGGCGTGGAGCTGCAGGCAGAGCCCGAGACTGTGGAGCTGCTCGAGTGGTTCATCGAGTGGCGCAGTGTTGCCCGCGATCCCGAGTGCTGCAGCCCACCGTTGTGCGGATGGGCGTGGCTGTCGTGGGGCGAGTGCGGCTGGGGCACGCGCTCCTCACTCGTATTACTGCCGCGGTGGTGGTTCTGCAATGAAGAAATCAAGTTCAAAATTAGTTTTATTTGAAATAAGTATTTTTAACTAATACCCTTTGCTATTCCGCTTTTAAAGTTCTTTATCTTAGTGCACATACTAATTTGATATTTCACAAACCATTGTTAAATTGGTCATCATATGAATTACTATATTTATCACTTTTTAAATCATTACCTTCAGAGAAAGTCAAAGAAAATAAACCTCCAAAATACAAATCTAATTCCACCATATCAAGCCTCATAATACACTGCAATCCTAAGCGGAAATAAATATAATTTTCCCTAGCCATTTTCTGCCAGTTCGAAACTGGCTTGATTGTTCAGCGGGATAGTGTGTCAAAGATCCATGTGTGGCACTCTCCGCACAACTGGGGCCTGATTATGTGTGGGTGTGGGTGCCACAGTGGAGCCTCCCACACGCCGACGGGCGGAATTAGAGGCTCTGCAGCACGGCTGCATTATAATTTCATGCAATTATCGTCAGTGAAACCCAGCCCCCGTCCCATATGCAAATGTCCCGGCCTCGAGCCATGTGGATGGCTTGGATAATGGCAGAGTGGATGGAGATGGTGGTGCAGGGTGGTGCAGTTGGTTCGCCAGAGTGCTGTGTGCACCACTGTCGATGCCTTTGCAATTTTGTTGGCACAAACTATTTGCAAAAGCGCCAAACAAATATGGCAGTGGGTGGAAGGGGGCGTGGTCGTAGTGGTGGTGGTAGTGGATTACGTGATGGATTTGCAGAGAGGGAAACTCTGTTGGTTTGAATTTTTGATAACATTAAGCCAACATTTTCATTTGACATGAACGAGGCTCCTGCTCCCCATTTCCTTTTCAATTCCTGGCGCCACTCGAAGCTTTTGTCTGGTCGAGCCCCTCCTCTTAACCCTCGACCCCACCTCGCCTTAACCTCATGGCTCCTAAACAAGCAAGCATATTAAAAACTTTTCTTTTATTTGCAAACAGTTTTTCCATTTCTGGGATTCTTTTGTTGCAGTTTAGGGCGCTGGCCTGCAGCCAAATGTGGCACGTACCCAAGGGGTTAAAAGGGAGGGGGGGAAGAGGGTTAGGGTTCATCGATAGTTCGTGCCATGATTTAATAGTCTGCCGGCTGCCAATTGCAAACTGCAGCTGATGGCTGGAAATAATGAGCCAGAGGAAGTAGGAAAATGGAAAAGAACCTTTAAGAGCGGAGCTAACCTCCCCCCCCACACACTTGATAGATGGAAATAATGAGCCAAGAAAAGATGGGAAATATAAAAAAGAACTACAGTTTGGCAAGCGCTGGGAGGTCACCGCCTCTCACTTCTGCAATCGATTGAAGGTTAACCGATTCGATTATTCAAATTCGCGTTGTGTGCCATTCAAGCCGAGTTTCCAGTTAGCTGACTGCACCGCTAATGAATTGCATTGTCAGTCATTTGAGTGCATATCCAATGGATTTTGACATCCATCGCTCAAGTATGTATATGTATCTGTATCTGTATCGCTATCTGTATCGTGTGAACCAAACTACAGTCTAAAACGAAATATGCAAATGCAGTTTCCTACCACTGTAACTCCCTTTTTGCAGACAAACAAAACGAATGTGGCAATTGAGGAAAATTAATAAATTTTTGTTGTAACCCTAGTCAGTCGATGGTCGGGGAATTAAATGGAAACTGGAGCTATGGTTTAGTGGAGTGGGATAGATTCAGATATTGCTTATAGACCCGGTCACGTCACACGCTTAGTTGGCTTCATTTGCTGAGGGCGGTTGCCCTTTTAATGTTTGCTTAAATGGGAAATGGGAAAACGACTGGTAAACTATTGAGCGAGGGTTGGGGGGACACCCAAACCCCGAAAATAGATAGTTAGTTGGATAAGCTGTCTGTGGTTGGGTCAACAAAAGAAGTCAGCGGGCAAGTGACTCATCTAATAAGGAATATCCCTCTGTTTTCCCATCAGTTAATTTGTCAAGATTTCCACTTTAGCAATTGGTTTTGGTTTCTGTTTGGTTTGTTCTACGAGATCTAATTAGGAAACCATTTGTGCGGAGGCTGCCAGAGAAGTATTAAGCACAAGCAGACAACTACACAAACCGGAAAATGCCAAAGTTAAATGTAATAAAGTGGAAAGCATGACGAATGTAGAACTTGTGCAGAACAAGAAACTCGCTTCTGACAAATGATCATTCCGTTTCCCGCCGAACAATAATGACAATCATAATGCCGATGATGATGTTTATGTGCCGATTCCGAAGAACTTAAGCGGATTACATTCAGCGAGTACGAGTACACGAGCCACAAGATGTGGAAAAGTGTTACGAGCTCAGAGCAGAAAAAAAAACAGACAGAACACTGAGCAGAAATGGAACCAAAGTGGGGAGAGTTGAAAGAGGAACTACTGCCATATGGCAACTTGAAGAGGGGCACGAAGTACACAGAGAATTGAAGATCAATTTAGTGCTTATCTTTAAATTACTAAATATTTAAATTAATTTATAAATAAACTGGTAGACATTTGATTACTAAATTAATTAATCAATTTAGTTGGTGCCTTCTCGAAATATGCCATTTAATCTCAGCTTAGTATTTAAACCTTATAGTACAAAATTGTGCTCTCTGTAGTGTGGCATCATTTCGAGGTTAATGGGGTAGTGACAAGAGAAGAGGGGCATGCAACGAGTGGAGAGGGCGACCCCTGGCAAAGCCATCTCCTGCATTGAACAACCGATTTGCATAAGGCGAAGGGCAACGGTTCCCCTTTTGGGACACCTCCATATGTGCAAAAAAAATCCTGCGACGTTGCCAAAGTCAACAACGCTTCCTTGTTGTTTTTTTTATTGTTGCTGTTCAAGTGCAGGCGGGGGTCATTAAAAATGTGCATTTTGCATTCAACGCCCTCGTCTTTCTCACACCCTAAAAAGCAAAATGAAAACAAAGTATAACAAAGGCACAGGAAGCAGGGGTAAAAAACCAAAAAAAAAACTTAAAGTGGGGGAAGGATGTAAATCATCAGTTGGGTCTTAAGGCCACTGCAGCGCTTTCCAAACTGTTAATATTATAATGTTATTCGTCTTTTTTTCGCCTTTGTGAATATTTTATGCAGTTCACATTGCTGAGCTCAGAAAGTGTGACACATACGAGTTCCCCCAAGTGATTGATATATGTATGTTGTCTACGCACGTGAGACAAATGGAGGGAGAGCAAAGGATATATGTGCGTATATGGTGACAAATCCCAATCCCCAAGTGCAGCCCACTCCCCACATGATTTATTTCTGTCTGCGAAGGGGGATTCAAAAACACAAGCCAAACTCGAGATTGAAGTGCTTAAATCAAAACCGCATAAATCACAAATGTCACAAGTCAAGAGTAAGTGTCAAACTGTGGTTGGGATAAAAAGGATTAGGTATGATATAAGCAATACAGTTTGCTAATATCTATAAAAATTTTACCCCTGCAATTTTTAAGATGTAATTAAACTCAATCTCAAAGATCACAAGGTTTAATTTTTATATAGCAGAACCTTTATAAAACCGCTACATTCTAAAAACAAAAACGCCTAATGGGTTCAGCTCCAGCTGCGACGCACTTAAGAAGCTATTGAAGGCTGATCTTTTACCTTAAAATTCTCCACACGTTTGAGTGAGTCGAGCTGAGCACGATTGTTATGTTTGAAACGCTTTCACAAACTTAATTAACATATACTCATAGTCTTTCTTATCGCTCGGCGTTGAGCAGAACAAAATAAGTGGTAAAATGGGCATAAAAAAGAACTTCTTATATCATAAAATGATATATAAAATTCCAAGAAGCTTAGCCACTGCAATTGGAATGAGATCATGTCGCGAGTGTATAAAGTGAGCTCACACACAGTTTGGGGGCGTTTTTGTTTGGCCAAAATCGCTTTGGCAACTGGTTCATTGATATTCGTGTTTTGTTCAACGATTATTGAACACCAAACACGGCCTAAATATGGCAATCATTGAGTGTTGTTGCTACAGTTTGGCGACATTTTCATTAGCGGAACAAAGCAGAAACGTAAAAATTGTATACCAGAAAGCGAAAGGTAGCCAAAAATGGTTTCAAGATTGCCGTAAATTATGCAAGCTACCTGATTGATTTTTAAGATCCCCAAATTAATAACAAATCACATACATTATTTGCGGTTTTATTGGTTAGCTTAAAAATAGATATTTTAATTGCAGTTCGGAGTTTGAAGACGCAATTTGGATTCGAGTTGCATGTGAAGTCTTGGTGGTGTGTGACCCAATTTGTGCGCACTGAACCCAACACCCGTTTCGAATTTTACCCACCGCTTGTGTGTGCAGCATAAAATTAGCTGAGCTGCGACAATTCCAAGGCAGAATCAAGAGGGCCCGAGAAGCCAACTCCATTCCCACACGCCCACGGGAAGCAATTTCCCCCGATCTGAGGTAACTCGAAAGGTATGAGGAGCATGACTTCATGTCACGGCTTTATGAGCATCGAAAAAGATGGGGAGAGGTTGTGAGGGTTGCCGTAATAAGATACTCTGCAACTCACACAAAAAGCGACCTGAAGCTATGCTGGAAATAATAGTAGTGTCATCAAGAGATTTTTTAAATAAGTTAATAAGCAACAGGTTGTTTGAACAATTAGATATTTAAAATAATAATTTCATACATTCTGGTAATCCAATATTTTATTGCTGAGACTACTCTTTTTATGCTTTTCAAGATGAAAATGTTTGGCTACAGAGAAAAAAGGTTATTAAATAAAGTAATAATGCAAAATTTAGTTTAGTTTTTAAATATTATTTCACATACTGTTTTCCTTGCCTTAATTGTAGTACAGTCGCTTCATGCTGTTTTGAATGGTTTTCTTTGACTTTCGTGAGCTTGCCCAACCTTCCCCCTATTTAACCCTTCTGCACATGCGCTCTGCGCATTGAAGCTGCTCCGTTTCCAGTCGAATACCCAAGACTTTGTGTAACTTTGCACATTTAAATTACAAACAGCTGACAAAAGTT